AATTCGATTTGTATGTGCTTCAAGCATCCAAAGGTCAGATGTAGCAATAAGCGGCTTTGTGGAAGAGGAGAAAATGGCATTTGATTCTTGCCTCGAACTCTGATCATCATCTGATTTCCCACAACGACGAAGCTGCTCGATATCATATCGAGTACCAGAATATTCAGCTTTGACATATACACGTGAGTGGTAGATACGGTGATTAATTTCGCGATACTCGTTCAACTATGGTGTTCATAATAATTTCCTCAACTTTTGAATATCTCATTAATCTTCGATACGGTAGCACCTGTCGAAGCGACGTCAGAGAGCATTGCACACGAGCTCCCAGTTCGAAAGCAGTGCATAAATCGTCTGGGTATCGGTGATTGATTTCAGTAATACATTTATCCATCGAACCGCCTACAGCTAAGTTTAGCTTTCGACGGAATACTCCAATCGAGGCACGAGTTTCCTTGGTAAACAATACTTCATCATGCAAGATTTAATCTTTTCATAATTCTATCAGTTGATGTTCAAACATGCTGTAGTTCTACCCAGCGCAGTGATGCTGCTTTGCATTCATGTACTGCAGGTGCTGTAGTAACACGGATTTTGGTTTTAAGGAGTTCCCTAGGGTGCCAGAAGAGACGACGAGACTGAGCTGCACAAATCCCGAGAAAGAGATAAATTTCATAAAGTTTTTTTGTACGAGTTTGTTGGAAATTGTTCGATCAATCCTGGGACCCATGGGACCCATCGTCATCAGCCTGTCGCGATTTGCTGCTAAAGAAGGTTCCTCTGAGACCTTGCCATGAACATCTGTATGCTCTGATTATTATCCATCATTATTAATGATCGTAAAAAACGTATTCGCTTCATCCTGCAATCAATCTGGTTGTTTTTCACGGCGCGGTCGTTTTGGCCGTATCGTCAGATATGTGATATAGTGAGTTGGATGTAACAGTCGATCTAAGTGACCACAGTCCAGTCGCATAGATTCAGACTCGCGGTCACAGAACTGTGCGTTGACAACGACTATCGACTGGCGCCCAAGCTGCCGCGGTCGTTTCTTCTCGCAACCTACCCATCCCGTGTCACCTCAACTTCTTTATACTCATGCTGTGACCTCATTGACTCTCGTTTGTACTTTTGCCAGTTCGTTTGTCTTCCCGTTTGTTGTAATGACCGACATAAATCTTTCCATGCAACGCTGCGTAGTCTGCAGCTTATGAATGGCCTTTTGGTTTTTGGTCCACGTACCGTGTCCATTGTTCAGCACTGGAATCACACACCGAAAGAAACGTTGCTTTTCAAACGTGTTTCGTGCCATTTTCGCTCTTCTCGTCCTCGTCTGCTGAAGCTTCAGACAGTAGTTCCAGACGGACGTACTTTTGCACCTGTACAAAACTTTAGGAGAAGTGATTTCAGCAGGAGGGGGGCACGGCTCTGTTCGCCTTATTCAGTTTCATTTTAGGCTCTG